ACGCGGCCGGCGGGCCGGCCCCCGGGCCCTCCGCCGCTTTGCTCCCCATCTCCCTGGTCTGCTGGCTCCCGCAGCAGACCAGGGAGACGGGGAGCAGCTTTTCTCGCCCCGGAGGAGGTGGGCAGCGGGACCAGGCGTCCCGCCGCTCGAGTCCTCCGGGGCGAGAAATCCCCGTTCGTAACTGCGGATCCGACATAAGTCGGATCCGCGTAACTCGGGGACTGCCTGTATATGGTTGCGCCAATTTTCTTCCACTATTTGATCTGAGGAAGTGGGTCTGGCCCACAAAAGCTAACCACCTTGTTAGTCTTTAAAGTGCTACATAGTCCTGTTTTTGTTAAAGCTACACCAGACTAACATGGCTACATTTCTATCACTAAGACATTAAACCATCTCCAGTGGGCATTAAAAATACTATTTCTTGTAGTAATGGCCTGAATTAACTATATAGTTAAATTGATTTATAAAAACAATCACATGCTAGCACCACTGGAGATAATGGTAATTATCACAGTTAATGATGCTAACACAACTGTATTTTTTCCTGGTTACCTATGCAGTTACTTTTACAGAAGTTACCACTCTATTGCACTTCTTCAAATAGCAAGTAAGTAGTCTGAAAGTTAAATATCAAATCAAAGAAAGATTATATAAATAAAATTGTTTAAAACTTATTGTGACAAGTATGTAAAAACAGAAGGTATCTTGATTTCAATATGCAGAAAAAAAACAAAGTTCTTGGTCATTATACTTCCTTAGCAATAACTCAAGCTGCTATTGGTCATCTCATTATACCTGCTTACATTTTACAACACATTCTACTGTATGATCATAATGAACCTAAGGACCAAATCCTGCTGTCTTACATAAGTAGTACCCTTTGGTTTCAAAATAATTACTTGTGCAAAGAGAGCACTATATGGCACTTAATTTATTTCTGGTTTGCTAACTAGGAATTGCTTTAAAAAGCAATGAAATGCCACTAAAGCCCTATAGCTTTTATCTCCCTGGAACAAACCTGCTTCATCTGCTGTCTGACCTCACTGATTGGTTCCTTCATGTCAATCTTCTGGCTATAACTGACAGGTGTCTGAAGAAAGTTGCTGCTCACTGGAGTGAAATACTTGTATCCTGGTGTAGGTAATTCCTGAGGTGGCAGGTGAGCCATACCCTCAGTACTCGGCAGATTTCTCAGTGCAAGATTTAAGGGAGTGACTAAACCAGCGGCTAAAGGATTAGGTTCTGCAACCCCACGCTGCTACTCAGAAAAACATAAACATTATGTACAGGTAGTAATATAAAGATACCAACTTACAGAAAGTACAAAGAGTTTGCTTCTGGTGTTAGTTTTGTACAATTAATTGCTCTATCTAATCTAAGCTTTAGAGTAAAATAAGCTACCCAACACTTTTTTGTAAATATGCTAACAATTTAGGGATGAAAAAACTATATGACTTTATTGGTACTATGCTTACCCTTTACAACTTTGAATTGCATGCTATACATAGGCATCTGAAGCTTGATTAAAAAAATAAATGCCTTTCTAAAAACCCACATTTAAAATCACTATCATAAGGAAATCTATAAAAATATGTTTCTATTACAACCAAAAAAACTATGTAAAAGATCAGTAAGGCCTCAAAGCCAAGTACTCAGAAGTTGGAAGTACCAGAATTAAGGTTGACCTTGCAAACTTAATTTGACCCCTTTGTGTATCCATTATAATTCAGACTTTAATAGTATGTGGTCATATAATTTTTTCCAATGAACTTCTCTCTCATTCAGTGCACAAGATAGATGGTGGTTAGGACTCTTATGTGACTGAGGCTGTTGTCTACAAGATGCCTGCCTAGGCTTATGTATGATGTAAGTAAAGAGACCTTCCAAAATCAGATTTGACAATACTGACATTACATGCTTTAAATACATAGGCCTGGGAGTTCTACTCTTCAAGGTTCTGCTCCCTTGTAATTTGAGTACAGGCAGTCCCCGACTTACGCGGATCCGACTTATGTCGGATCCGCACTTACAAACGGGGCTTTCTCGCCCCGGAGGTCGAGGTGGCGGATTGCTACCTGCGAGCTCCGGGGCGAGAAAGCCCATACTGACATTACATGCTTTAAATACATAGGCCTGGGAGTTCTACTCTTCAAGGTTCTGCTCCCTTGTAATTTGAGTACAGGCAGTCCCCGACTTACGCGGATCCGACTTATGTCGGATCCGCACTTACAAACGGGGCTTTCTCGCCCCGGAGGTCGAGGTGGCGGATTGCTACCTGCGAGCTCCGGGGCGAGAAAGCCCCAGTAACCCTGTCAAAGAAGAAACTTAAGCTCAGTTTGCATGATTTGTTCTTCACAAATCCATGCTGGCTGTTCCTCATTACTCTGTTATCCTCTAGGCACTTGCAAAATGACTGTTCAATAAATTGTTCTGGTACCTTTCCATGTATTGAAGTTAGGATGACTGATCTGTAATTTCCCACATATTCTTTATTCTCTTTTTAAAAGTCAGGTCTTCTTCAGTCCTCTGGGGCCTCCAGGGTTCTCGAAGATAATTACTAATGGTTCCAAGTTTGCAAGTTTGCTTCAGTTAATATCTTATGTAACCAGGATGAATTTCATCAGGTACTACTAACTTGAATCTACCTAATTTATCACAATATTCTTTAATCTGTTATTTTCCTATTTTGTCTTGGGTTCTTCCCTCGTGTTGTGAATAATTGTATTAAATATCTGGTCACCATTAATCTTTTTAATGAAACCTGAAGCATAATAGGCATTAAACCTCCCAGACCTTCTTGATGTCATCAGATCTTCTTCCTCACTAAGCAGACTAACACTTTCTGATGTCTTCCTCATGCTCCTAACATTTTTAAAGATCTCTTCTTATTACTGCTTATACAGGCAGTCCCCGCAGTTACGAACGGGGCCCTTCCTCTCCCTGGTCTCCAGCAGACCACGGAGAGGAAGCAAAGCGGTGGAACACGCGGGCAGCGGACAGGGTTATCCGCTGCCCACGCGCTCCGCGGCTTGGCTCTGCTTTGCCCCCCCGTCTCCCTGGCGGTCAGTTTCAGCAGCGGCTGAATCTGGACGCCAGTTCCGACTTACATACAGATTCAACTTAAGAACAAACCTACAGTCCCTATCTTGTACGTAACCCGGGGACTGCCTGTAATTTACAACAAATGAATATTACTTACTTTAAATGTCAGACAGTGCAAAGACTATAGGGCCTCTTCAATTTATACTGTTTGAAATGACCACTGGCCTCCATTTCTGTGGATTTTGGTGCAGATACATACAGGCTACGTCTAGACTACATCCCTTTTTCGGAAAAGGGACGTAAATTAGACGTATCACAATTGCTAATGGAGCGGAGATTTAAATCTCCCCCGCTTCATGAGCATAAAAATGGCTGCCTCTTTTTTTTGGCATGGAGCTTTGCCAGAAAAAAGCACCAGTCTAGACGCTGATCTTGCGGAAAATAAAGCCTTTTCCGAAAGATCAGCATCTATTTTTGGGGAAAAGCTCCATGCAAAAAAAAAGAGGCAGCCATTTTTATGCTCATGAAGCGGGGGAGATTTAAATCTCCGCTCCATTAGCAATTGTGATACGTCTAATTTGCATCCCTTTTCCGAAAAAGAGATGCAATCTAGACGTAGCCAAAAATCTGCCTCTTTCTAACACATATTTCCCTTCCTTACTACTAATCAGAAAGACAGACATGGGGCTCAAGAGCAGCTGAACTAAATCCAAGTGAATGTCCTTTTTGAAGAACACTGAACTCAAAAATACATGTCTGAAATAATTGATTAAAGTTATTTAAAAAGTACATCAATACTTTCATCAATATTAAAATACTAAAATTCAGTTTTAGTGAATGAAAAAAAGTGTTGCACATAATACCAAAAAGTCTCTTTTGTTTTACCCAATCTGTTGAAATAGCTAAGAATATTAAAGAATTAGAATCAGGTCTGAAAATGAATGCAACATTTACCTACAATATTCTCAAACCTCACAATTCTAAATGTTGTACCCTCTGTGATGGCCACCCCATAATTTGTATTGTACTGTAGTAGCTATACCCAGAGAGTATTAGTCCTGTGAGGCAAAGACTTATTTAGCACAGCTCATCAACTGTACACCAATGTGTTGATTTAACAGGATATAACGATTTCCATTCATGTTTGCTAGTGTAGTTTGTAGCCATGGTGATCCCGGGAATATTAGAGACAGAAGGTGGGTGTTTTGTCCTTTTATTGGACCAGCTTCAGTTGGTGATGGGCAAGCTTTTTAGTTTCACTGAACCCTTCTTCAGGTCAACTTCAGTTGGTCCACTAGAAGAGATTACCGCACCTACCTTGTCTCTAACTGTATACTAATTAATTCAGTTCATCAGCAGAATGGTGGGAATATGAAATAAAAGCTGTAGATGAAAAGGAAGGACACTTGTCAAATAGATGTTAAATTTCTTTTCCTTACCCTATTTCCAAGTCTATTCAAGGGAGATGACAAGTGCACTCTTATATTAAACGACTACATTATTGTGAGATGTAATAATACAAGGAACCCCAATGGAGACTACAACAGAGGTAAACAATTGCTTTAAAAAAAAAAAAGAGCTAAACATTTCTCTCAAGAGTATGTTCAGATTTTGTGAAACCATATCATATAGAAAAGACTGCAAAAACCAACTAGTAATGTGCTTAGGGCCATGGTGTCCAACCAGTTCTAAAGCTACTGTTATAGCGAACTAGCCACACAACTGGCCAAATCGACACATGCAGCAAGTGGCTAGCATGTTGGACACTATGAGTTTAGGGGATAAGAAAAAAATACAATTTTTTAAAAGATAAATTACACATTTGATAATTTTCTTACTTTTGGTATGTGGGACATTCAGCACAATGTATAAGTACATAGCATCTTGAAAAACACTCCGATCGATGATAAACAAATTGCTGAAAGATCTTAAAAGGTTAGTATAGCATCACTATTAGTTTCTTATTTTGTTCTTACTTACCAGTTTATCATTTTCATTGGGCATTTCAAACACACATCTCAATTTAGAATCCATTAGTTCATCTGGTTTTGCCTCTTTCCACTAAAATGACAATTTTTATGTTATTTAACATGCAAGGTTCATGCAAACCAAAGAACACTTCTTAAATTATTTGCTTTTATACCTTCTCAATACCCAAGTGTGAATATTGCTTTTATTTCAGCAACAATTTTCTGACTCTAGCTTTTAATCAATTCTTGCATCTCCATTCTTCTACAACTTATAATGAATAACAGAAGCTAGAGATGTGCATAATGTCTGGATATAAAGGTGAAAAAAACAGAATGTAACATTATGAAATAACTTGTTTTAATAGCAAAGAGCTAAAAGACATTTTGCTAAAGTACAGGAAAAATGTGTATTTTATAATGGCAGCATTATATCCTCATTAATATGATCCTATTCAGCTGGTCCCCGAGTTGCGAACGGTCAACTTACAACCGTTCGCAGTTATGACCGAAACTGTCGTAAATGGCAGACCCCGAGTTACGAACACGATCTGCGCTTACGAACAGCACGGTCGCGTGTAACTCTATGGGGTCTGACTTACGAACAAACTGAGTTACGACCAATTGCTTAGTCCGTAACCAGTTGGTAAGTCGGAGAGAAGCTGTATATTCAAAAACTTCCATCACAATAATGACATTACTAAAGGAGATTAGATTAGATGGCCTTATTGATCCCTTCGAGCCTGGAAGTCTATGAATAAATTCGTTTTCATTATCCTAGATTTTTAGACTGACTAAGTCTTCGTGGCTTTTAATTCATTACTCTTTGGGCCTTTAGAAATATTTCACAATAGCTGAAACATTTTGAATTATAATAAGCTGTCAAATATACCCTACTATAATAAAAGCTAGAATTTCCCCTCCTAACTGACATTTAAAATACTGCCACCTAAAATATGCCTTATATTTACTGAGCTCCAGATGTCTTTACTGCAATTCTTGAAAGCATTCACAACTATCCTAACACAATCCTGTTGTCAAACACCATTATGGCTAAGTAAGCACTTTAAGTTGAAAAAAGTCACAAGACTTCCTTCTAAGTACAGTAAAAAAAGATGGGCCTTATTTGCTTTAAGATGCAGAACTGCAACAACTGCATTTGTCCACTAGGGGGCAAAGTTTAGTCAAATCACTCCCAAAGAGAAATAAGTGTTAAAAGGCCATATTAATGAAGAAAAAGATTATTACATACTGACTTATCTGTCAAATAGAATATAAAGAATGCTTATAAAGGCATCTCAGAACACTAATACTACTAAGCATCAATCAACACTAATCTAATATTGAAAGCCTGGAATACACGAACAGCAGTTAACAGTATAGATTTATGTATAAAAAGTTGAAGAATGGTAATTTTGGGATGTCCATTGTAAATACAGTGTGTCCTCCTCCATAGGTCATTTGATTTTGATGAAACAGATTTAAAATTTTAATTTCAAATTTAGTTTATACCAAGCAACTTGCAATCCTAGCTAAACTGAAAAGCAGCTCAGACAAAAGGTGTAGCTTTCTGGTGGCTTTCATGTTCCTCTACCTTGAAACATTTTTCCAAGTTATGTATCTGTAATTTGTTCTACGAAGATATGCATCTTAATAAATAATTGCCCTTGGGTCTCCTGCTGTGTGGGGACACAGAGTTCCCACTGCTGTTCCCACTGCTCAGTTTTTGAGCTACTGGCTCTGGCCTGGGTATATCTCGAGCCACCTTAATGCACAATAATGACCCAATACTCAAAAACTCAAATCCCTCTGAAATGAAGATTAAAATATTTCAAAGGGAACAAAATTTAAAACAGTAAAATATTAACCCATTAAGATTACTCAATTCTATTGGAATTAAACTGGTTGAGGAATACATTGAGATGTTCACCTGCCAAAAAGAAAAATAGTCATAACTATGCTCAAAGGATGCCTAAAGAAAAAAAAGACGAAAATATAACTTTTAATAATCAAAGTGAACACTTTGAACATGGTAATTTAATGGTGATGTGTAGAAGAGAGGAGGGGCAGAATATCCTTTAAAACTTCCAGTTTAAAATAAAATATGTTAATCAACTTATTTTTAAAAAGTGGTAAAGGGAAGACAAAAACGTACATTGACAATCTCCTCAGTGACAGTTTGGGCAGAAATTCTGTAACATTAAATGTTTATAAAACTCCATGCAGTCTAGGCTATTCCAAATATTAATTTCTGTTAGAGTTCAAACTGAACAATACTTCTTGCTATGTGTATGTAAATAATTCCATGGAGATGGAAATAGATATAAGGTTTTCTGCCTTACAATAATTTCAGGAACCTCTTAGTGTAAGAGATGAAAGCATTATAGATAAACAGAATCAGAGTTTCAATAAGCCATATTCCATTAAAATCCCTTTCCCTTCCTTTTTTCCCCCCTCAGAGGCGTTTAATTGTGGAGTATATAAGCATTTAACAACCAAAGTGATACATTTTCTGTAGCTTTAACTCTCAATATCCCTCTACTCTAGTGTATTTTAACGGTGCTAATTTAAAATAATGTCTTTGAAATGGATTTTTATACCCTCTCTGGACATACCAATCATCCATGCAACCAGGATCCAAGAGTATAGGGTTGGGACCAAAAACAGACAGGAAGCTCCACTGAGGCAGATTCTGTCTAAAGCTTCTGGAGAGTCTAACAACATTTGAGGATTAACACTGCTTCTGATGAAAAAAGGCCAGAATGAACCCTTCAATTTCTTATTAAACGAATATACAGTACAAGACTGCTGAGACTAGTATATTTAGTTTTTTGTAAAGTCTGGTTTCTGACCTTTGTCTTTCTCTAGTCTGAGTTAGGGATGTAAACAAGTAGTCGACTACCCAATAAGCCTAGGCTTATTGGATAGTTGAGTTGACTAGTCACTTCCCCCCCCACTGCCACTGTATCAGAGGCAGCAAGTGGGGGAGCAGGAACCGGTGCTGGGGGAAGCCATCTTAAAAGCCATTTCCCCCCAGCACCATCTCCCCGGTGCCACCTGCCCCTGATATAGGCAGAAGCGGTGACCGGGGGAGAGGACAGGGGCTGCTGGACTTGGCACAAGCCAGGACAGAGCAATCCCAGAACAAAACTCATACATTTTCTGAAGAATTCTGACTACTATGAATAAATGATCCAAGGTTTTGAATTACAAATACATAATACATAGAGTTTGTAATCTGCTTAATCTGGCTCAAGATGGACCAGTTAACTGATTGCAAAGTTCATGCTGTAATACCCAGGGCTCGCCAGCCGCACTGTCCGGCGATCTGCGCCCGAATCCAGCTCTTCCGGGTTGCAATCTACTCGCCACAGGCGAGCAGATTGTATTATTTGTCGAGCCCTGGTAATACCTATAATTATTTGATCTTCTTGTCATTCACATTCTATTTCCCTGATATTCACCAAGCCCCCCTAAATAACTTTCAAACAAACCTCATTAAGCAAGTCACAAACTCGAATAACGTGATTATGCATTTGTAAATCAAAACCTTGGATCACTTATTCATAGTAGTCAGAATTCTTCAGAAAATATATTAGTTTTGTTCTGGAGTAAGAATTACTAAATTTTGAACATAATATGTTTATCTTTTACAGCAAAAACTGAATTTTAAGCAGGGGACATATTCATGTTAATATGTTTACTTACCACTGCCTCCATGTCTGAAGTGTTTGATGGTGCAAAGATTGTCTGTACCATGAACTTGTGTTTACTCTTCTCATTTGGGTCATAGTCAAAAGGCTGTAACATTACTGTACAGAACATATAAGATTATTCATGGTTCTTAAACTGATCATTCTGTGCAAGCATATTAATCATTTTAGCTTCAATTCAATTCTCACTTGACTGGCCACAATGCAAATGAAGTGTTGGAAATGGGTTGGGGAAGAATACACTGTAGTAAAAGATATCAACTGGACACAAATCTTACAAGTGTACAAATCCTACAATTCTCAACACTTAAATCACATACTTTTAATAGCCTGTTTGGGTCTAACACTACAAGCAGGCAGATTTTTTTTTTTTAGTTTCTGCCAGTACCAGAAAATATTTAAGACATTTTAAGATTTTAAGTTTAGTTTTCCTCAATCCATTTTTATTTTCCCTGTAATACACACTGAACTATCTTAGGAAACAGTCAGAAACATCTTGCCATTTAAGTGAATGTTAACAATAAAAGACTCAAAATGCACACGATTTTCGCTACATTCAAGATCTAGTCTAAGGAGTTTTTTGAAGACAGAGGTTAGCTAGGCCAGATTTCCTCTCTCTCTCTGGAGAGAATAGTAAAGAAACAAGTACTGGCCTATTCTATTGTGATGCTCATTACCAATAAGTTCTACACTATTCCATACCTAAGATCAAAATGCTAACTTAAAAAAAACAGTATGTAAAAAGCATTTCCATAGGATGGATCCTCTAGGTCACCAATGTCTTGTAAACTGAAATGGAGGGTGGGAAGATGTGCTTTCGTTACTTGTGAAAAAGTAATCTTTGCTTCACAGAAGTCTGAATGACTGTTGCCTACCTCCTTAACACCCAAAAATGAGAGTTGGTATTTCTTGTTTCTACATTTAAAAGAAATCAAATTTTACCACCCTGTTTTTCCCTGGATAACTGAGAAATTAATACGATTAAAACAATAAGCGACATACTATAGCAACTGAGAAGGAAAGACATTTGTGTTTAGATTTTTTTTTAAAGCACATTTTAATCTTACTTAAATCAAAATCTCTGACAGAGTTGCAGTTAAAACTTTTATATAAAAAGATCTAACAAAAATTAATAGTTGAGAACTTGGCCCACTGGCCTTTGCCTACTTCAAAAGAAACCTGTATTAATACCTCAAAATCCACAGTTAACCAAAAAACTTTATGGATCATTAATGTTTTCAATACGTCTTGGAAAGTGGATAAGATAATATGTGTTAACATATTCATAAGATTAATCAGATAACATAGGTAATTATAAGCCAATTAGCATAATATCAAGCCTGGGCAAAAAAAAAGAATGACTGCTATGCCACACTATCAGTAGAGTTAAAAAGCAATATAGTAGTTGACATAACTGAATGGAAAATTAGTCTTGTCAAATGAACATATCTTTCTTTGACAAGATTTCAAGTATAGCTGAGAAAGGTAACTGTGTTGACATACTATAAAATATATAAAACAACATACACATTTGGATTTCTTTGACTTCAACACCACATGACATTCTCATTTAAAAACTAGCACAATTCAAAAATCAATATGGCATATATTAAATGAATTAAAAGTAATGATTAACTCCCTATTCAAAAGTTGGGACACATTAACCAGTGGGGCTTTTCTAGCGGAATCCTGAAGCAATCACTCTCAGCCCACCAGTATGATTCCGTTATCTGTGCAGCCTGTAGCTTGAGCCCAAACTTTCAAACTCCTACCACAGGTTGCATTCGGGTTGTTGTTTTTTTTAAACAAAGTAGATGAACCTAGAGAATCTTTGATTCAAGAAGTCTCTCAATGAAACACTCTAGCTCAATCATAAACTGTTAGTCTAGATGTAGAAATCACTGAAGAAGCTTTATGGGCTCTGATCTCTCTCTTGCATAAGTGGCTCAGCTTGTTCTCCTCCTGGGCAACTGCTGAAAATTTGTATTTGACTATAAATAAAAAAATGTGCTCCATGGACTGCTCTTGGGATGTCAACGTGTAGTTGACTACATGATTAACCAATAAGCCAGAGCTTATTGGTTAATCCTATCAATTGCATGCACGCTCCCCCTTCCCTCCCTTCTCCCCCTCCTCTCTCCCCACTACCTCTGTATCAAAGAGGCAGCAGCACAGAGGGAGAGGGGGCAGGCAGGAGCTAGTACACACAGAAAGCCAGCTTTCAAGCTGGCTGCCCACGTGTATCAACTCCTGTGGAGCTGCTCCCTTCCCCTCATGCGGCTGCCTCTCTATAAGAGACAGCAGCAGGGGTGGGGAAGAAGGGAGGCTGCTCTGCAGGATGCCGGCGTAGCCTCTCTCTGCATGGAGCTCAGGCCCCCCATGGAAGGGGCTACTGCCACCCAACACTGCTGCCTCTAGGAGTGGAGCCAGGAGCATGCTGGCTGCTGACCCCACCCCTGGGGACTATCGAATAATTGTGTAACTGCTAAAATGTTATGTGGTTACACTATTATTAAATTAATCAATATCTAACATCCCTAGACTGCAACCAGAAACTTTTAAACACAATTGTTTGAATCAGCCTCCGCCACCTCCTTCAGCCACTCCTGAAGCAGTCGCAAGATAATCACCAATGTTAATCAGGAGTGTTTTAAGCATCTCTTTTCCTCACATCCCTGTTGCTGTTTCTCAGCAGCTCCTCCAGTCGCTCCTGCCACAGTGCAAGGAGGAAAAAATAGCAGCTCAGGCTGTTCCAGTGACAGCTTTCCTGCTTACTGTGGAAGTCTCAGACAGGAGAGCAAGATAGGAACCTGAACAGCTCTACCCAAGTCTACAGCACCCCCTACCAAAGGATTACTTCCCTACAACATGCAAGTATCCAAGGCAGTCTAGGAGACATATAAGTTGAACCCATATGGTGCTCCATGGAAGTGGTCAGAAGGCATCAAACTGGCTCTAACCCTTCCCTCACTGGAGATGGGGCAACTCCTTTCCCATCTGGTGGCCTCACAAAAAACAGTGGGATGAGCTGTAAGAGCCTTTTGCTCACTTGTGGGTGATTCAAGCCCTTTTCCCAGGTCCTGGGGAGACTGCATGCTCACAGTATTCTCTGTACTGTATGCTACTGCTTTGGCAGAAATATGGACCTAGTCTTAGATTAAGATACATATGTCCAATTATTTTTGCTGACAACACATGCAGCAGAAAGGCAATGGTAATTTTTTTTTTAAAGTACCCAAATCAAGCCAAACAAATTTTCATGGGAGAAAGAAAGAGCCAACTGGCCATACAGCTTTCCCTCTGCTCAATTTCAAAGGCCTGCTGCAAGCTATGGACATGTAAAAGCTTCTTTAAAAAGACCAAGAGCCTTTTATAATGGAAAGCATTTGGCAAGCTAAATAATCTAAAAAACAATTACAGAACAGTGGATTTGTAACACTGTGATTGGGCTAATTATATGATCTACTTAATCATTTGAAATATGGTATGTACTACAGTCTAATCAAAAAGTTTTCATCTAATGTTTAAAGCAACAATTAACCATATCAGATATTAAATACAGTGAAATTACTTCACAGCCATAAATTGATGTTTACTACACTGGGGGTGAATTATAGATAAGGGTATCATCAATTCTTCTCTGATCCTTTCTAGCTTCCCCTTTTGGTTCCATATACATCATGGGTAACTGTTGCAAGGAACTGTAATTCAGTCTCCCTCACTATCCCACCTTCCCATTTCCTTTCTTACTGCATAATCTTATCTTTGCTAAGGATGTTAAAATGCGGTTAATTGACTAGTCGATGGAATTTCCATTGACTAGTGGATAGACACTTCTGCATTCCTCCTTTGAAATGTACAAAAGCCTCACTGGAGCTCTTGTACATTTCAAAGGAGGAATGGGGAACTCCTGCAGAACTCCGCTTACAGCCAGGGGCCAGCGGGAAATCCCGCTGACTCTGGGATGTACATGGGTGCCTTCTTTGAAATTCATGAGAGTCCCCAGCGGGGTCTCTTGTGCATTTCAAAGCCATGGAACCCAGGATCAGCAGGGGACTCAGAGTTCCCCGCTAATCCTGGGCTGCATGTTACGGTGCATGCTGCTAGGAGCCCAGCGTTAGCTGGGGACTCCCCAGCTGACCCTGGGCTCCCCGCAGCTACTCCTTTGAATCACACAGATGCGTGGTTTAAAGGGACAAATGCTGAACAGTTGATTTGCGGATCAGCTGTTCTGCGACTCTCCCTTTGAACCATGCATCTTCGCAATTCAAAGGAGCAGCTGCAGGGAGCCCAGGATCAGCTGAAGACTCCCCAGCTGACTCCGGGCTCCCCAGGAAATGCTGCGGGGAGCCCGGGATCAACGGATCAACTGGGGAGTGCCTATCGACCAGTCAAAAAACTATCCGATAAGCAATGCTTATCAGATAGTCAACTAGTCTTTAACATCCTTAATCTTGCCCCACATTTTTTCTTTTAAGTCACACACATCTATATAGAAAGTGTCATTTGAATGTGTTAACTTGTCCTAATTAAATCAGAAACATAGTAGTTTGTAACGGGCAGCTAAATATTTCTGTATCCAGGATCTTCATTTTCATATTAATTTTTGGTGTACAAGTTATTGTGAAGGCAACTGCAAGCTTAACCAAACTAAAAGACACTATACAAACAATTTCATTATTAACAACCCTTTACAAAAATTGTAGTTAATGATGCTATGGAATAGTTTCTGTAAGGGACAACTAGCTGTTTCATGTAGTAACTTAACAAGAGAATCAGAACCGTAAAGCTGAATAATCATGTTTTTACCTGAAACAGTTACAGATGATCCTGGATCAATAATCCCACTGTTGGGCCGCACACAGTATCGACGAGGCGCTGTGGTTTTCACTTTGAAACATACTTTTCTATCTGATGGGTTTCGTAGCTTAAGATTTGTAGTGACGACATCTGTGAAGGGACCTGTTAAAAAAATAAAAGTAAGTTTATTCGAAAAAATACTTGCTTATGCAGCCCTGAATACTTTTAAATACAATTTCTAACAAAAACTACCTCCTGAGAAGATTAACGATTACAAAGCATGGAACAAAGTACACGTTTTTTGTTAAAATGTCCAGACCACCTGTACTCTGCTACATGAAGACAAAAATGAAGATATATACGTTTATTTTTATATACAGGGCTCGACAAATAATGCAATCTACTCCCCCATGGCGAGTAGATTGCAATCCGTAAGAGCCGGGTTTGGGCGATCTGCACATGCACAGATCGCCGGACAGCGTGACTGGCGAGCGGGGCTCGCCGCGGTTCATACAGATATACACACACCCACTCACACACCAGTCCACATCTCTACAGTAAAAATTAGTCACGGTTTAACTCTTTGGATTCAAATTATTCAAAAATAGTACAGCTATTACAGAAAAGAAAACATTTTCAGCAAAGTTATTATGCTTATTTTCCCACAAATTTCTTGAAATTTCATACAATAGCCAAAAGTATTACAGTAACTATGACAGTATTCTTCCTTAGAAACAGAAACAATGTATATTTATGTTAAAAAAAAACTCTTTATAGCTTTGTTATACTTGAGTAGTCAACTAGTCAACTGTTTTAGTCATAATAAAGAAAATTCTGTGATACTGAGATGCTTTACTACAGAGGTGGCCAACCCCCGGCTCTTCAAAGAAAAAATGGCATCTCCCTCACCCACAGCTCTGAAAGGAGCAGCGTGTTTCTGTGGGTTTTTTTTCCCCCTCAACAACTTTTTTCCCCTCAGCTCTTTGCGCTGGATCCACCACTATTTTGGCTCTTCGCCTGTAACGGGTTGACCAACCCTGCTTTACTAGTTCACTGGTTGACAGAGTTGCCAAAGACAAAATGGACAGACACACTAATCTTTTAACTCTTGTAGTCTTTCTAGTTGTGGGCAGAAAAAAAACCTGGTGAAGGCAACAGAAACGTATACAATGCTGTTACCCATGCTGTATCTATCCTGTGGACAGGAGAATTTAGTTTCCATGGTTATCCATACAGCTCTATAGATGAATACTATGTTCACCAAAAATAAGGCACAATTCTAGATGAGGGAAGTGACTACACTAATTTACCAAGCAAAGAGTGACAATTTTATTGTCAGCAATATAACCTCCTTCTCTTCAGAGACCACCCTCAGGTGGCACCTAGTAGCAAAGGCATGAAGAGGCAGAAGGGGGTGGGTGGGAAGGCTGGCTGTATCTATTATATGATTAGCCAGATAATCGCATTTTAACACCCTTAGTGGAGGGAGAGGCGAGAGCCAGTGCATGCAGGGAGCCAGCTTTACAGGGGCAGCAGCATGGGGCTGCAGGTGGGAACCGCCTGTCCCCTCCCATCCTTGTGTAACCACTGACATTTTTCAGTGGTTACACGATTACATAATTAAATGCATTACAAAATACCTCATGTAATATCACAATTTAAAAAATTATCCAGTTAAACAGAATGTTAAACATACTGTTTAACCGGGATTTTGCCCACAGTAAGCCCGATCAGGCTGGAGCAGTTCCACACCCATGGCATGGCAGGGGGCTGCTCCAGGCCACCAGTTAACCAATTACCAGTAAACCTCATCCAATAAGGATGACGTTTACCAGGTAACTAATTACCCATTTCCATCTATACCTGATGGGTGGGTTATTCCATAATAGGAATCCCCCTCTAGCTGAAGCAACTAGCATTACCCACTACCGGACAGGAAACTAGGCTAGATGACCCACTAGTCTGTCAAATAAGGCACTTGCTTCATTTCTATGATTCTGTGAACCCTCAATCTGAATCCTTGGTTCTGAAAAAATTCTTACCACCACCAAAACAGGAAAGATTGGAAAGGAGTTGACAACTGGCTGAAGACAAGGGCTGGGACAGGAAAGAATGGATGCAGGCTTCCAATTTAATGAGGTCTACATTTCATTGTGTTGTCTGCAGAGCTTTTCAAGCTAATTTCCAGCAGGCTTATTAGAGAAGCGCAGAACTGTTGAACTGACATTAAATTTGGTAAGAGGATAGTCATGATGAGAGATGTTGTCTGTCTTTGTCCATAGCCACACATGGGATTCTCCTTCTTGCCAGCCTCACATGTGAAGGCTAGCTGCACATCATCCCTTGCTCATTCCAAATCAGTTCAGAAGGGCTCACATGCAGTATGGCAAAGCAAAACCAAATATACATGTAGTCAGGTAAATTATAATGGACTGGTTTCTGACATCAGCTGCAGATCATTCTCCATACAACACTGATATCACAGAAAAATGCGAGCAGGACAAGTGGGCCCACAACAGGCATCTCGATAACAAATGTACTCTTTCATATACAAGAGATCTTTGTATAGTGGTTAGGGATGTTAAGTGGCAGTTAATTAGCTAATCAAGTAGTCGATGGAATTTCCATCAACCAATCGATCAGTCAATGGGGGGACGAGGGGAGTGTGTTTGCTACCCCTGATGAGGCTCTGCAATTTAAATATAGTAGGAGCTGGGCACAAGCCACAGCAGGGTTAGCTTCCAGGGGTGGTATGAGCCGGGAAACTCCAGGTCACCCCTGATGCATCTGGCCTCTCCTGCTTCCCCCCAGCTTTTAAGCCAACTTCCCCGAGTACCAACTCCTGCTTTGCTTTGCTTCCCTTCCGCCCGCCTCTGATACAGAGGCAGCAAGGGGGGGAAGCAAGTAGTCAAATAGTGACTCAACTACCCAATAAGTCTAGTGTTATCAGGTAGTCAATTCCTGCCTTAGCCCCACTGCACTGCTGACTAGGAGCTGCCTGAGATAAGCACCGTCCAAGCCAGAATCCCACCCTAATCCCCGTTCTAGCTCTGAACTTCCTCCTGCACTCCAAATCCCTTGCCCTAGCCCAGAGCCTGCACCCTTATCTGGAGCCCTCAGCCACTCCCACACCCCAACTCTCTGATCCATCCCAGAGTCCCCTCCTGTACCCTAAATCCTTCATTTCTGGTCCCATCCTGGAGCCTAGGGCAAGGCCCAATCCTCCTCCCCTCTCTGCCCACAGGGCTGGAGCTCTGCAGGACTGGAGCACAGCACAAGCACTGACCCATCCCGCTTTGAGAGGAAGTCCCGAGTCTCCACCCTACTGGCCTGTCACACCCATGACAGATTTTTTTTATGTGGGTTAGAGGCGCTGACAGAAAAAAAGTTCCCCATCCCTACTTTAGAAAAATAATACAAATTACAAATGTAAAAATTCAAATTGATTATTTTAATCAAGGTTTCCCTCTGGGTAATTAAAACCACTTTGATTTAAGACAATCCAACCTGCAAACACTCAAATATTTATTCTAGTTTGGCAGGCAAAATAAGCTCCACAGGCACAAGGTATATTTGTCAGCATAAACTGCAGCTATACTATTGAAATATCACCACTAAAAACATTCCACCACTAAAATACAAAGCTACACTAGCAAATGTTTGTAGTGCAGTTCCATTATATTCTGGTAAAAAGAGAAATGGGACATAAGGAAAAGTCTGTAGGCCATTAAAACTGGTCTCTCGAATGTTTGCAACTCTTTGGAGGCAGAAACCAGTCACGGCAGACTGCAAGTAGCCACAATCCTCAAAACCCAACCAGCTAGCAAGTCTGAGATTTCCAAAGTTGCTTTGTAGAGCTAAGTTCATTAAAGCTTAATTCAGAAATTATTTTAAGAATAAATCATATAAGGACTTCCTATTTCAGTGCAACTTCAAATTCCACCCAAACTACTGAAAAATATATACATTTGTGCCCACAAATAAAAAATACAAATCAGTACAATAGTTTCATTCTACCTCAAATTAATAATCTTTGTACTGGATGAGTTAGATCTGTGAACTTTTTTCCCCACTAGAAAGAAGGAAATTTTCAGGTAAGAGATTTTCCTATTGTTCACAGAGAAAGTTTGCCAACCCATTACAATGGGAGGTCCAATAGCAGTGTGTCACTAAGAGGACAAAGGATGGATTAGAAGATGTCTCACTTATTAAAAAAAACACACATAATTATAACCCTGAGAATTATGCAACTATGTAATTTTCTCTATAATACTGCAATATTGCACAAAATGGTCATTAACCAAAAATGACAATAAAATACCAGATCACATTGACAGATAGCATTAATTTTACCCCCAAAAATTGCCACTAGTCTCATTTTGCAAATAAAGCAGCAAAAGACAAACAAGATACTTTCCTGAAGAGGCATTTGAAGACAGAGGAAAACAAAGTCTTTTGCAAAATGTGTAACATTCTCAACCATGAAAAGGAAAAGCAATTGCAAACCAGCTGAACATAGCTGAGAAGCATCTGAAGAAAAAGGCTGAGTTGCAAGGACAAGGTCATAAAATGCAGCACACAATTTTTATGTGTTTCAACACAACTAAAGTGGTTGCACGTCATGTGCCTGGGCACTACCTAAAACAAACCATCATTTGATATGACAGTTTCTTAACATTTAAGTGAAGAATGATGGGGTAATTCCAGGAGGTTACTGAGTATAAGATATGCCTTTTAGATGTCCAACATTGAGAGGAATAAACTCAAGGACAAAGTGAAGGATAACTCATTACGGTCAATGAAATTACTATGATGGACGCTACACACTTAAAATATTAAGTATACCATTGGTGAAAGACAGAAATAGAAAATGTTTCCATCTTACTGATGCACTTCTTCCAGAAAATGAAAAATAAAATAAAAAAATCACACTATCATGCCTCAAGCCATAATTCAAATGTCAAATTAGGAAACTGCTTACAACATGACTATCTTGGCTGACACTGAATTACATGTACATGAAGAAAACTTTTCATTCTGTACTGTCTGGACTGCTTCTCAATACCATGCACATTGCATGCCACGCCCACATAACCAAATTTGTGGGAGAGTTTTTGGGGATGTCAGAATAACAGTAAGATCACACTTAATGCAGGGACAGGCCACAGTATAGAGCAGCATCATGCATGACTCTTGTATCACTGTCTGACCATTTGTTATTTTTCAAAGCCTCTCTGATTTGCAATACTCCTCACTGTACTCTCCTTATTGCCCTGATGTCTGACTGCTCATAATTACCAACTAGATGCTATGCCTCAGCCCCCTCCCTCACCAAATAATTTTCTATCAGAAATATTATGGAGCACACAGCAGGCTGCCAAAACAATGAGAATGTTTCTTTCTCTGAGGTCTAACCTAGTCAGTAAATTGCAAAACGGTCCCTTTAAATGTCCAAAAGCACATTCTTCCACCATTCTGACCTTGCTCAGCCTGTAGTTTAACTTCTCCTTATTGCAGTCCAACCTCCCTGTGTACGGCTTCGAGAACCATGAAGCGAGGGATAGATTGGGTGTCCAAGAATCATTATTGCCATTTCAATGCCTCCAATAGTAATTTTCCCATCTGGAAAGACATTTCCAGCTTCCAGCTTTCTGAAGAGGCATGAGTTCCTACAGATGCATGCATCATACACCTTTCCTGACCATCCCACTTTGATGTCAGTGAAACAGCTCTTGTGATCAACCTGCACCTGCTGCACCATCAAGAAGTATCCCTTGAAATGTATGTATTCTTTGGCAAGATGGTCAGGTGCTATGATAGGGATATATGCATTCCATCTTTTGCCCCACCACATGGGAACTACATCGCGGCAAAGCCCTCCACTATGTCATCCATGTTTCCCAGAGTCACTACCCTTCACAGCAGAAAGATATTGACTGCCTTGGCTACTTGGATCATAAGAGCCCCCATTGTAGATTTCCTCACTCTGAACTGATTTCCAACTGACTGCTAGCTAGCTGTTCAGTGATATAAGCTTCCACAGGGCTACTGCTACTTGCTTCTCCACTGTCAGAGTGGGTCTCATTCTGGTATTCTTGTGCTTCAGGGTAGGAGGAAGCAGTTAGCAAACTTCCATGAAAGTGGCCTTAGGCAGGCAAAAGTTCAGCAGCCACTGCTGATCATGCCATATAGCTGCACCAATGTATGGTCCCACCAGTCTGTGCTCGTCTCACAGCACCAGAACCAGCGTTCCACTGTGTCAAGAGGATCAAATATATTTGCCAGTCCACTCAAGTGCTTCACAGAAGAGTATGTTACTTGCTCCTGTGATGCTTCCTTGTTCCAGCGGACTCTGGATATGCTCCAGCATAAAGCACACCACAGTTAATATGACTGCCATAATACTTTGCGGCTGAACAGGTTTCATGATGGATTCCATACTTAACCCGCTATGGCATCTGCACAGATAACCAAGGGGAAAAAGGTCATGAAAAGACTGTTTGCCCTTGCTTTCAAGCAGAGGAGAGGGGAGAAATACTGGGACACTGATGGCATATACCCAGAACTACCCACTGCACACAGTTTTGGTTCCAGCATGCATAATCCAAAATGCAAAAGGGTGACAGGAACTGCAGAATAGCTACCCATGGTGCATCACCTTTGAAGCTGATGGTAGCCTCCCTACAGGCGATGTGCTACTCTGAAGTATGTCTAATACTCACACACACTGGGGACATGCACCTTTGACTTTACAAAATCGGGTGCTAAAAAACCCTGACCTTAATAAATCTGACCTTATCTCATAGTGTAGACAAAGCCTGATATTCCATCTTGCTCCCCATTCTCACAGACTGCCTATCACCATGCAGGTTGCTGTGGATCTGCAAAAGATTTTCCCCTTATGAATGGTAAGGGTTCTATTTATAACCTTCAGAGACCCTGTCCAAGTCTAAACTGACAAGTTACAGTGCAGTAAATTAGATCCCAGCACTGTAACTCTTGAATTCTCCACACTGGCAAGGCACTTCATGCGCACTAACTCCACAGTTGCTGCACGATAAGTAAACCATCACAACAAAAAGCACAGAGCTTGCTGTGCTCTGGATACAGCCCTAGGGTGCAAGTATGGACACTTGAATTGTTTCCTGTGTTCTACCTGGACTCTAATTCCCTCAAGTTCCCTCTGTTCCTTGTTTTGAACTCTTCTGTCTGCCCCACAGTCATGCAGAAATCCCCTTTCAGAGCTCCATTTTGGACAGCATGCATGCTATTCTGATTTGCTCCCAACACAGAGCAAACCATTCAGGTGGAATGCTCCTGCGGTTGAATGCAGAGGCAGGCACCTATGTGTGAGAGAGAGATTGCTGTGCTAAGAGCCATGGAAAGAGACAAGGAGAGAGGGGCTGAGATGCCAGGATTTCCTCCTCTCACTGCCTCAAGACTGGTTGTTTCCTGCCACAGTCTGAACTTACAAGACAGCATGCTGACATCCCCAAAACTCACTGTCTCCCCCCATATACATACTCCCTGTCTCACATTCCCCCCTTTGCCCAGACTTTTATTAAAAAGCAGCTGTCAATGTAGTAGGATAACCATAGAGCAATGGGATTGGGAAACCTGCATCATGTGATGCTGACTACCCCATGAAGCATTGCAAACTCTTTCCAAAGCACTCTGCTGCAAGTGGAATAGCTACCACAATGCACTGCTCTCAGTGGCAGTACAAGAGCAGCTCAGGTGGACATGTTCCATTGTGACAAGAAGCACAATGTGGACTCGCAACAGCAGGTTCCCTGAAGCGCTCTGTGACAGACTGTAATTGCCAGAGCTTCACATCTGCCAGTGTAGACATAGCTTTTGTCTACATCTAACAGAAACAGAACACTGAGAAGCAACATCAGTGCAGTTTACCATTCATAACTGCAGACTAACAGGCCGTACTGTGGGAGGAAAAAAATCTAAAACAAACTTTTGGCCTGCCTCTTAGCTAGGAAAAAAGACCTAGCAGTTTCAAACTAGACAAAGCAATAGCTTCCTATTCAAAGAATCCTTGTTTATATTCTCATACAGGTTCAAAATCTGCCACTGAATTGATTGTATCAGTGGCATAATGAATATTAAAGTGTATTAATCACTTAACACACCAAAAACCATACATATTCAAACAATGCTGTATAGATTTGAACCATCATGGTATGAGGGAGAACTCCTTTAGTGATATGAAATATTTACATTACTATAACAAAGCATATTTATATCTCAACACAACTTTACGGATGTGCTTCAGTGCTCACAATCAACAACTGCATTTCATCGTGTAAATGCAATATTGTGTGTTAAAATTTAAATGAAATTTTGTAATTTGGAGGGTGGTAAGACAAACCAATGCACATACCTGATAAGTAGTCTTGGCAAAAACATTATCATCTTAAGTCAGCTTTAGAATTTAAAAGCTCTAGACAGTGAGCCTGATATATATTCAATTGCTAGACCTTCTTGGTTCTTTTTTATTTAAAGATGTTCCTCACACATTCATTTAGCAGAGTAGCAAGCATTCTTTAAGGTTCATTTCCAATTATTTATATTAAAAGGTCCACATCTCTTTGTTAATTCCAAACTCACATCCCACTTTGATTTAATAGCAATGTTATTCCTACTGAATAATCTGACTTCATGTCAACTGAAACTTCTAAATTTTGGACAATTCAAAATATTTCAAAATATTATTTCAAAATAATGTAGTCCGCATCTACATAGCAGGCAACTGTTTTGATGTGATGTCAAAATACTGTCAAGCTGGAGGACTCCTGCAACCCTCATTGTACAAGGAGTAAGGGAAGTCGGAGGAAGAGTGTGCTATTTCAAAATAAGTGCTGTGTAGACACTTCCAATTTTGAAATAAGCTATTTCAAAATAAGCTACACAATTGACATTGCTTATTTCGAGTTAAGCTCTGCTGTGAAGATGCACTCTAGGAGAGAGAATAAAAATGACCCTTTCAAAATTTTATACTGATATAATATTTTCCCATTACAAGAGCTTTCTTGTTGTTGTGACAACAGAAGAGTAGGCTAGAAATATTTTAGGGATGGCAGAATATGAATGTTTAATAAAAACAGGTGATGTTCAAGGCCATGAGTCAGCCACAGGAGGCCCCCGACATATGACCACCTGAGTTCCGACCCCCCACACTAACAAAAATGGCTGAAAGTGCGAAAGGGGCTCCCTTGACTTACACCCCATGACTTACATCCTCAGCCCGCATTTCTGATGGCGCATGGTGCTGATCGTAAATGAGGGCTTGAGTTACGACGCCCCCAACTTGCGACGCTTCCCCAGGAACAGATCGCCTCCTGTACTAGGTGTAAGTGATCAACCATTTTCTTTCAACGATACAATTGCTATGGCAGGATCCTTTATTACAGCAACTGCAACATGTTGCCTAATCTAAGTAAAGCAAATAACCGATGAATTAAGGCAGAGATACACATGGGCATTCTTCTAGAAATTACACAAAGAATGCCAGACTAGAACAGTAAAACTTAGAAAAAGAAAATATCCCAAAGGTTTTCACCCGATACACAAGTAAAGCAAAGATTTCAAGTTTATTCAACATGTCCAATAAGCAATACCATTGGGCATATATGCCTTCTCAAAAATGGAACTTCCCGGCTAGTTCACATAGATCTTTCTAGCCTCTGCTGCAACAGGAAAGCTATTCTGAAATTAAAATATATTTTCTTGATTCTTTATATATAATCATCACAAAGGACTATGAAGTGTGTTTTAATCAAGAAAGTTCATGATACTATATATTTTTGTTAGTCTTTAAGGTGCCACAGGACTATTCATTGTTTTTAAAGTTACAAAATTACCACTCTTATTTTAGCATGAACATCAAACACCAGGAATAAGAGTCCTTTTCTAAATTTATCTCCCATATTTTACTATAGCCTCTTGTAGTAATGAATTCAACTCCATGGGCTATGCCCATCAAACAGTATTTCTGATTTGTTCTAAGTTTACATAATTGATTTCATTGCAAGTCTCCTCTCATATTGAAGATAACATAGCAATACAATCTAGAATTTTAAATATCGCAGAAAACTTTTTCTAATCTTTCAAAAGCTAAAACCTAGTGATTTTTTAATGATCTCTAGCCATATTTAAATATCACCATACTTCAGGCCACCTTATTGAGACCTTTTCGAGCTCTTAAGTGTCAAACTAGACATTGCTCCAAGACAAACAATACTCAGTTATATATTTTCTCAATCATTTTAGACAATTTAATTGAAGGGGCTAAATTAAATGGACAGGAGTTGGCTATTGTTTCTGTAGATTGGCCAAAGTATTTGACTCAATAGGGCATGGACCTTAAGAGGATTCGGATTAATGAGGGATTTACAGATATTGTTAGGGACCTTTACAGTAATCATATCACTAGGGTTTGAGTGGGCGATAAGTGCACCGAGTCCATTAAAATAAAGAGTGGGTTCAACCAAGGAGACCCCTTATCTCCAATATTTAATACAGCCATTGAGCCTTTGCAGGTTAAGTTGGAGACTGAAGACTTTTGGTGCAGCATTCAAGGGAAAAGTATTATGTTCTTGGCTTTTGTCGATGATGTGGCTATTTTAAGTGGGACGTATCAAGAGATGATTAGGAACCTCGAGAGTTTAGACTGATTCTTCAGGAATACTAGGCTTGAAGGTAAATGTTAGGAAAACAAATGCTAAATGTAAAATCTGTGTGGTTAATTTTAAGTATAATTGGAAATTAGGTAAAGATAAGATAGACTAAATGCAACCACATCAGTGTGAAAAATAACTGATTGCAAATATAGACCTTTTGACGGGGTGGGTGATACCCTGTGAAATTGACTGAAAAGGTGTGTTAATGTGAAACCCTTTTGAAACATGTCCAAAAATTGATGATTTTATGGACGTATATTTTACCCAGGTTGTTTTATAATTTGCTTTTAATTGAGCCTTTTGTGTTTTAAATGCTATCGTGAGGAAAGTTAAGATTTTACATCTCCCTCAGGCTACATCTAGACTACACGCCTTTTTCGAATGAGGCTTTTTCAAAAGATACTTTCAAAAAAGCCTCTTTTAAAAAAGAGCGTCTAGATTGCACTAAGTGGATCAAAAAAGCGATCCGCTTTTACGATCCAGTCTGCCTGGACACTGTCGAAAAAAGGGCACTTGGAAGCACTTCTGCCAGGGAATGGGGGCAGCCTTTACTTCTGGGTCCTGCAGCATCCTCTTTGCAATCACGTGCTTAAAGGGGCCCCCCTGAACAGCTGTTCCTCTGCTCCTGGAGCTGGGTTATTGCACTAAGTGGATCAAAAAAGCGATCCGCTTTTACGATCCAGTCTGCCTGGACACTGTCGAAAAAAGGGCACTTGGAAGCACTTCTGCCAGGGAATGGGGGCAGCCTTTACTTCTGGGTCCTGCAGCATCCTCTTTGCAATCACGTGCTTAAAGGGGCCCCCCTGAACAGCTGTTCCTCTGCTCCTGGAGCTGGGTTGCCTATCCTCTAGAGCCGTGGTCCCCAACACGGTGCCCGTGGGTGCCATGCGCCCTCCCGGTGCTCCGGACTCGC